CTGTAGAAGCATCCGTTCCATATACACAGTACGTCCGTTCATCATACTCATCCGGCACAACTTTTGCCTTCACAAACACAAAACAACATTCAAAACTCCATCTTTGACTACAAATAAAAACCCCATAAAAGGGAACTAACTACAGAGAAACGACAATTACTAGTACTACTACGCCTCAATCCCAACTCGAACAACAACAACAATTACTTTGCTTCAAATTCCAAGCAAGTTGGGGTTGGCTATATGATCCTTACCAACCATGCAACTATATTCAAAAACCAAAAGAAGTTCAAATCTTAACTATACCCCTGAAAACAGAACACCAAAAACATTTGATCTTCAACTAGACTCATTAGCAACAACAACATACCTCTGCAATCCCACTATGGGGAGAGTAGAGCTATGTTGCTTGGACTCTTCATGAATGCCGATGGTGCGTGTCAGATCCTTCCAAAGTAGTGCATCTTTGGAGGATACGACATGGTGCAGCAACATTTATGGAGAGTACGAGCAACATAGGAGTAGAGTGTACGCAGACCTTACCCCCTACCTTGGGAGGTAGAGAGGTGGTCTCCGATAGACCCTTGGCTCAAGGAAGACTCATTAGCAAATAAAACCAAAAACTCAATCTTTACCACACCAAAAAACAAAAACCAAAAAAAATCATTTTTTAACTATTCAACACCATCCAGAAATACCAAACACCACAAAGAAACAAATCAATCCTTAGCAACACAAGAAACCAAAAACATCCAGCACAATCCAAGCTTTAACTACAACCAGAGACCAAAAACACACTAACACCAAAAATCAGTCTTTTACCTATATCCAAAAACTAAGAACCAAAAAAACAACCTTTAACTATACCCAGAAACACCAAACACCCAAAAAAAATCAATCTTTAGCATCACAAGAAACCAAAAACATCCATGAAAATCCAATCTTTAACTATACCCAGAAACAAAAAACACCCAAAACTTCAATTTTTAACAACAAAAGAAACCAAAAACATCCAACACAATCCCAATCTTTAACTAAACCCAGAAACAAAAACACTCACACACAAAAAAAAAAAACCCAATCTCTACCCATCTCCAATAAACAAAGAACCAAAAAATGCAATCTTCAACCATACCACAAGCAAAAAAAAAAAAGCAAAAAACATAGAAAATATAAGATAAGCTCAAAAGGGTACCGTGCTACGACGTCGTTCAGCACCGACAGCAAGAACAAAAGCTATGAGATGAAGTGCAATAACAATTACAAGAACAGGAATAGAAACCGCCATTACAGGCCAAACTAGAAAACAATTTTTTTCACTTTCTCCTTCTTTATAATTTCTCAATCAAATTCACTGTACTTTTTTTTTTTTTTTTGTTAAATGGGGTGCTTTTACTTTACTTTTATTCGAATATATATTTAGCACTTAGCAGCTGCTTTTTTGAAGTTTTGAGTTACTATAACAAGTGTATATCATTTTTGTTACTTTATGAGAAAAATGATTAATCAAATAGTGTTTCTGGATGGTAGGGTCCTCCTCCTCCTTTCTTGTTTGATAGTGACTGTGTACAGTACACTATGAGTGTCCGAGTTACGAATTAAGTTATCTCGAGATTATTGTTTTTGTTGAATAGAATAAGTGAGATATTTAGAGAAAAAAAGCAAAAATTTTACTTTCATTAGATGAAATATAAATTTATTTCAAATTTAATTTTGAATATCTCATCTTATCTCATGAATCGACCAACTTTTTTCTTTAAGCAAAGAAAGTGAAATGTGAAACGTTGAAAGAGAATAACTCTATAGCTGGAGTTTGGGTGGCTGCCGGTTTCCGGTTGTTCTTCACCGGCTTTTCTGCATTATTTTCCTTTATTAGTGATTTTGTATTAAAAAATATTTTCAAGAAACTATTTTCTTATAGAAAATTAGTTCTATTATAATTTATCTTCAAAATATATTTTTATATTTAAAATTAATTTAAAGTTAAATTTGTTATTGCTCAAATTAGTTATGGGGAAATTTTAGAAATAGTAAACATAATAGCATTTCTTTTCTGCATGTCCATGGAGTTTTGAAAAATCCAAATAGACATAATAAGGCTCTATAGCTATAGTATCGATAATTGAGCTCCATAGCTATAGTTTCATTTGCTATGGAGGCTACCGTTTGTATATTTCGCTTGCGAATATACAAATAAGATAAGTATATACAAAATTTGTATTCATACATTTAGGAATTTTTCAAAACATCGTTTGTGTATTTCGTTTGTCAATATACAAACAGAGTAATTTATTATGAATTTTTCATAAATCATATACAAATAGTTAGGGTAAGCATATACAAAATTCTGGATTTATACAATCAAGAACCAAATTATACAAATTCTGAATTTATACAAATCAGCGAATACAAGAATTTGGGAACTACAACCACGAATTACAATTTTCTCAAACTGTAGTTATAGTATCTAATATATGCTAAATATTTGTTATTCTGCATAATTTTTCCTATATATTAACATGGATCCATACAAAGCCCAATCCTCTTATTGGGTTTGTCTAGTTCATGGCCCAATAGCTTTAGCCTGTGAGCGCTCTGTTTATATAACTGGCCCATAAACTTCACACAAATTGATCTTTTAAATTCACTTCAAGCTAAAATGGCAATATGATTCACCAATCTTGGGAAGGGTGGGTGGGTGTAAATTATCTCTATTACTTGTATTTATTTTAATTTCACTATTTAGTTCTTGTACATAAAAATGAGATTAAGGGTATGTTCGATATGATAGAAAATGTTTTCCTACGTACTGAACACACCTTAAGTGAAAGGTGTTGCTATTACACGCTCTTTCAAAAAAGGTTGATTCTAGAAAATCCTTCTTGCTTCGAGCTACTATTTCAATTATCATATAATTTCCCAACATGCTCATGAACCTAAAGTCATTGGAATCGCTAGCTTGGTTATTGACCAATTCAAAAGCAAATTTTACTGAATTTAGTCGAGTCTGGGTGTTTCTAGGGATTTGAGTCATCTATGACTGAAAGTGTTTTACTTCTCAAAGTGAGATCTTTTAGTGCTAATATATGAAGTTCAAAATGTATATCGAACCTTGAGTAGGAAAAAAAAAGTGTTCAATACAAGCTTGTGATTTAGGATGATTACAAATCCATTAAAAAAAAAAGATAACTTGTTAATTATTAAATCAAGTCTTAATTAGGATCAAGATAATTAGTACTCTAGTGCATAACTCTATATATCATGATCTAATCCACATTAAATTTTATAACAGGAAGAATCTTATCTTGATTGACCTTTTGCTTTATTATTAGTTATAATATAATTTTATGACAAAACAAGAAAATAGAGAAAATTTAAAGTTATCTTAAATGTTCAAAATGTGATTATGCCAAATTAGAACATGGCTACATTCAAAGCACCAATTGGTTAACAGTAGAGATTACAAATAGCCGACTATTAAGAAATTAATATACTACTAGTTGTGTCTATTAATAGGTGGTTGTGAAATTTTTAATTTTGGTTGTACCTTATCTTAAGTTGAAAATTTATTGATATTAAAAGGAAACATACATTTACATTATAATCAATATTAATACATTGATAATCTCTTAAATTTATCATCAAATTTCATTTAGACGTTCAACTACAACTTGATTCAGTTGAAGTACATCTGAACATAGATAATGGAAACCGTAGGGAAATCCACAATCTTTGCCTCTGTTTTTTGGGTGAACACTCTGTGGTGAGCACTTTGTGGTAACCTACTCATTATGCAATAACTCGCAAACCACACATGAGATGTAAATCGTATCAGACAAGCCTCATACGACCAACTCATAGCTAAGTAATTATAACAAGGCTGAATTCGATCCTAGGTCTCCCACATGGAGACCCACCTCCCAACCACTCAACCAAAATTTTGAAAGACGGATGAAAAGAAAGATAAAAATTTATCTGCATCCAATGAATAATTGACATGTATTTTATATATATTTATCATTAATTCAAAATTAATCAATTATTCTCGTCTTTATTTGTAACTTTACCAAGATAAATTTATTTGACACCGATGCAAATAATTTTTTACACAAAAGTTATATAAAAATATTTATTTTCTAATCTCAAATGATCTTCATCTCATTTTATTGACAGTTAGGCCACACCTAGAAAAAAGTTGAAATACAAAATTATAAATATTATCCAAAATAAAGCACCTCTAAAATCCAGGTGGCATATTCGTCAAAGATGCGTTTTAAGTTTTAATACACTCATTAGCACGTCAGCAATATTATCAAGCCGTTTGACTTCTAATTTAATTTTTAGATAATGCTTAAAAAAAATGATTTACAATATTGAAATATAAATTAATAATAACTAATAATAATATTCTTTAATCTCAAGAAAAAACCTAGAATTTTGAGTTTCTAAATTTGACATAAACTACTATACATACAAATACAAAGTTTGAATCAAAACTATTGAATTTCATGACATAGAGTAGCAGTATCAATTTCATCTGAACCCTGTATTTTCGATACGACTCATAATTCATGTATAAATAATCAACATGGACCCATAAATTTAAAAATAGATAAGAATCTCAAAAATCGAACTCCCAAACCCTAAATTCTGACTTTTCTTAAGACTAAATTCGTAAGCTGAACTGTAGCTCCGCCTCACCAACCAATCAAACCCACTATATTTGTTTTATGCGGCAACTCGACTACGTCTATCCCTTAATTATTTTATTATTATTTATTTGCATGATTTACCCCCATATATATATATATCTTTCTAATATAACCATAAATTAGTAACACATACATAAACTTGGTTGTGATCACGACCTTATTCATAGTCTTAAATATTTCAAAAAGAATATTTTGAAAGATTTATATATATTCATTAAGATATTTATAATTTTTTTAATCTCTATAAATTAATTTTTTTTTCTTGGATTTTGAAGTATAGAGAAATTAAAGATGGCTCCAGATCTATCAATGATTCTTCCTAGGGTTCTAATCGTCTCTAGAAGAACTGTTCGTAAGAACAAATTTGTTGATTTTGTTGGTAAGTAGTCGATCGATTTCTCTCTTTGTTTTAATTTTATATGTGAAATTAAATTCCGTTGTTAATTTCATGTTTTTTTATTTGAGTTGTTCTTTCGATAACTAAAAAGTGTAGCATGACTGAATCTAATTGAGGTTCGTGTTAGTGGAGGAATTGGATTGGGGGATAAAAGAGGGATTTTTGTTGTAAGATGTTTTATGAATAAAAAAATATTAATTATGACATCTTTGAAAAATTGTTATATTAATTGTTGTGATGGTTTATACTTTTCTATTTTTTATTTTCTTTAAATTCTTGTTGATAATTGATAAGCAAAAAGATCTATCAAACATATATATATATATATGTAATGAATTGTGTGATCGACTTATCAGAATTGTCTAAAGGGCATATTTGAATTTACTTGATTATATGTTCAACGTCGGTATGCAGGTGAATATCACTTAGATCTTATCGTGAGTTATGGAGCAGTGCCTGTTATAGTACCGCGAGTTAGTGGTGTACACATGTTACTAGAAAGTTTTCAACCAATTCATGGAGTTCTTTTATGTGAAGGAGAAGACATTGATCCATCACTTTATGATAGTGATGAATTATCTGGATTATCACAAGAAGAACTTGAAGAAATAAAAAAATTACATTCAAGTGACACAACAATTGATAGAGAAAAAGATTCAATTGAATTAGCACTTGCAAAACTATGTCTTGAGAGGAATATACCTTATTTGGGAATTTGTAGAGGTTCACAAGTCCTTAATGTTGCTTGTGGTGGCACCCTTTATCAAGATTTAGAGAAAGAATTGTCCAAGAATTATCAAACGTTATCTCGTTCAGACTCACCAGAAATGTCATCGTTGATGTTGCACCCTTGTCTTATTGGAGAATCAGACATGAACCCGTCAGGGTTATTGAAGTGTTTAAACACCATAGAGAAAGAATTGTCCAAGGATTGCAAAAACCTATGCTGCTCAGACTCTTCAGAAATGTCATCGACAATATTGAAGTCATGTCCGAGTGATATAGAGAAAGAATTGTCTAAAACTTGCAAAAAAATACGTTGCTCTAACTCTTCAGAAATGTCATACATGCAACCATCGACAATATTGAAGTCATGTCCGAGTAATATAGAGAAAGAATTGTCTAACAATTGCCAGAAGCTATGTTGCTCGAACACTTCAGAAATGTTGTCACATCCGTCAACATTGAAGAGTCAAAGTCAGAGCGACATAGGTAAAAAGTATGAAAAAGTTGTACATATGAACTATGAAAACTATGATGGACATAGACATGTGGTGAAAATAGTTGAAAATACACCATTACACAAATGGTTTAAAGAGTCATTAGAAGATGATAATGATGATGAAAAAATGGAGATTTGGGTTAATAGTTATCATCATCAAGGAGTTAAGAGATTAGCACAAAGATTTGTGCCAATGGCATTTGCTAATGATGGATTAATTGAAGGTTTTTATGATCCAGATGCATATAATCCTCAAGAAGGTAAATTTATTATGGGATTACAATTTCATCCTGAACGTATGCGTGGACAAGATAATGGTGATTTTGATTATCCAGGATGTGCTATGGCTTACCAGGTACTTAATTAAACTCTCAACTTGCTAATTAATTTTATCGAGTTCAGATATCTTGAGTTTGAGTCCTAGGAATGGTGACAATTTGTCGCAATCCAAGCTCATGTTATGCGTGTTTTTGGGCTCGATGATGGTGTAGTTTATACGTGTCATGCATGAGCTTGAGTGCTGACAAATCTGTGAGGTCTGTTGGGTCAAAGCAGATAATACGTGTCATGAATTTAGATTATGATAAATATATTATCTTGCTTTTGAGTTCAATGATGGCGTAGTCTAAGGAATAAATTTGTGAGGTTTGGTGGACCAAAGCGTATATTAATACGTGTTATGAGCTTGCATGGTGCAAGTTTTCACCTCTAATAGGCCTTACGAGAGTTTGAATATGAATTAGTCAGACCAATAGATATTGAATACCATATAATGATACAACAAAGAGTACTATAAAAAGAGACTTTTTAAAGTTTGATATTATTATTGACCACTTGTCTGAAATCATGTGATTGATCACCTATAAAGTGTAAGAAAATTTAATGAAAAGAAAGTAAGAAAAAATATTCAAAAAAATTGTGTATATCAATGATTAGTATTCAAAACCTAATATTTTGACTAATTCGAACTTGTGCCATAAAAAAATAATATAGGGGATTTTAGCACAAGGATTCCACTTCCAAGACTCGAAGTTGTGACTCTTGATTAAACGTGAAAGAACATTTACCACTCCATCACATATCCCTTAGCCAGTGCTCTGAACAAAGTAGTTGATATTATTTTTTTGTATTTTATATTGACAGTACATAGAACTTAACGACGTTTTAAATGTATTTGATTGGTTTTGTAGGAATTTGTTAAAGCAGTAATTGCATATGCAAAGAAGCTTAATGGTCCTGGAAATATACCAAGTAGAGGTATAAAATTCAACCATGAATTAGAGAGCAAAAGAAAAAGCATTGTTAAAAGTTTTTCAATTGCAAAAAATATGTATAGCTCTGGACTTGGCAGAATTTCAGAAAAAGAATCTGAACTTGAACCTGGAGCTGAATTTCTTGAGGTACAACATTTTTTCTATATATATATATTTTTTGAAATTTTTCGGAGCAACAGTAAAGTTGTCTCCATGTAACATATAGGTCATGGGTTTAAATAGTCACTAATACTTGCATTAGCGTGGACTGTCTACCTCATACCCCTAGGGGTGCGACCCTTTCTCAAACCCTACTAATGCGCGGTTATACATAAACATGTTTTTCATGGTTGACCCTACTATATCATGAAAGTCCGTGTACATCATCTTACCCTCCCTAGACCTAGCCACTTGCGGGATTAGATTGGGTATATGTTGAATTCTATTGGTTTACGCTTTTAGTAGTGCAGTTAGTTGACTACCTGAACTTTCAACTTAGTTGGTGAGGGTTTGATTCTACGACCACTTTGTAACCTTTTCCTTCATTTCCCTTTCCCGTACCCAAAAAAATGAATACGTATAGTAAAAGCGTTCATTTGGAAGAATTTGAACCTACTGACTCTAGATTCTGAACGATTTTGTGTATGACATGTAGGCAAACACAGCATTGAGTGTACAACAAGAGAATAGGTTGAAGCAAATGGGAGCAACAGTGAGGAATGCATCAACATACATGAACAGATTGAAGATGAATGAAGAAAGAGAAAAAATGGCTAGGGCTATTCTTGCAAAAATGTCAATTGAACAACTATCAGATATGGTTAGTTTTTATCATAAAATGGGACAACTTTGTTCTGAGGCTTTAGACAAAAAGTTCAATGACATGGAATTAGCTTGAACTAAAAAGCAGCTCGATGCACTAAGCTCATGTTATACGTGAGGTTGAGGGAAAGATCGAACCAAAAGGGACTATTGAACTATACATATCTTTTCCATTGTAAAATTGTGTTTTTTGTTCTATAAAATCTCTCTTCATGTTAATGATATTAAATCAAGTTTTTTGTTTCTTTTTGTTGGTTGCTAATCAAGTGTTTATGAATTAATTGATGGTCACAAAAGCGTTACTTACACATGGATTTTTCATCTAACAACTACAACTACGTCTCAGTTTCAAACAAATTAGGATAGCTTTCATTGACAATCTTCTTTTTTTTATTATGCTGAGAGTTATTCGAAGTCTAACGTGTCAATTGACAAAAAACCACATAATAAATTGACTTATTTTAGGTTGATTGCCTACGGGCTATATGAGCAAGATCACAAAGACGAAGAACTTCTTGAATTGCTACCAAGTACCTAGTAGCATATTATATTTCCTTATGCGACACATCAACCTCAAGTTTATGTTGCTCGAACTCTTCAAAACTTGCCGCCAAGTGCATGTAAGATCTTAGCAAATGTAGTGCATTTTTGAAGGATCTGACACGAGTGCGACCACATTATTAAAAAGTTCAACTATATCTCAATCACTTCATTATTAGCCTCACAACTTTAAGGTCACCACTATATCTCAATCACTTCATTCACACTGTAACACCGATGGATGACTAATCCTCTTGATATAACAAGTCAAAAACATACCCGGTGCAATCCCACGAGGGGATTCTGGGAAGGGTAAGTTGTACACAGACCTTACCCCTACCTCTGTGGGGGTAGAGAGGTGGTTTCCGATAGACTGATACTGGAATAAAGGCGCCATGAATTGTTAACCAACACCAAGAAGTCAATAACTCAGTTTTAGCACCATGAACAGATCAGAAAGGAAAAAATATAAATACTGAACTGCCCAGAAAAACAACAAAAGAAAAGGCATGAGACAGAATTATATCTAAATAGTCTATTATTACTAAAAAAAGTCAAATAAAAAGTAATGTACATGACATGGGGAAGCTACATTTCACCACCATATATAGTAGCTCTATCAAAATATGCTAGAATGCTAGTATAAATAACACACCAACATATTCAAGGCAGTAAAAACAGCCAGCTCTCTCCACTATAAACCGAAAATGAGGAGCATTATGGTGCCATCTTAATATTATACTTTCAGTCGTTCGATCACCTGCATAAGCATTGTTACTCATCAGCTCATCTGTTACCGATCCTTTATTTGTAACTTCCCTCGAACTTCTGTTATGTTACTAACTTTCCACTCCTTCCCCATCAATATTCAGATTTTCAGCCCTTACCTGAGGGCTGGTTTTCCATTTACGGTTTCTTTTTTTTCTTTTCTTCTTTTTTTCTTTTTTTTTTAAATTTTATTTTGCCTCGTAGTATAGATAACAGCATTGTAACTAAAGGTTAGAGCGAATCCTTAAGTCTTAACCCATTTTTCCTTGGAAAATCAACAGCTGTATCAACCACAGAGTGGTTCTCTAACCACAAACAGAGGAGAGTATCTCATTTTCACCTCTGGCAGAAGAAACTGAAATCAGGGTGATTGACCTGAAGAAGCGTTAGCCGGTTATCAGCAGCTTGTAAGAGCGAGCTCATTAACTGTCTTCCAGGTCCGTCATTTGGAGTCCAAAGTGACGCTTTAAACTTGTATGAAGCAAGGCCAAAAGCAGGTAGTGGAATCTTAGGGGCCGCATCCGTATCAGTTGGACATGCAACAACCGCGGTATGACCATTTTGATTTCCTGCAGAAAGTCCATGTAAAATTTAAAAAACGCATTTGCAACAGAACAATTTAGTTAAATGCTACAAGCAACCCACATTAGGCTACTGTAATACACACTCTTAACACATACTTCACCAGATTTGTTCACCGGGACATACATGAATAACAAAACCAAAACTCAAGGAGAGGTTGGCTTCCAAGTTCCAACATGCTGGCAAAGAGCTAATGAACTTAGGGTGGACATCTTTTTCGCGACAAACTCTTTTTTACCAGATTAATGCCCCATTTATAGCCAGGAGAACATGCTAAACTCGACAGAAGACAACATTGCAATTTTGGAGGATATCAGATTTAAGGCTTCATAAGTCATTCAAACCAAACAACACTGCATGACACAAACTAAGTCTTGTGCTAACTTCGCTACTGATGATAACAAACTCCAAAGCTCTGCCATTCTATTCCATTAAGATTATATCTTTCAAGAAAAATAACAAAGTGAAAAGAATAAGTTAGCCTCTTATTCCTATTAAGAAGGACTGAGACAAGCCTTGGGACTCGGTTCAAGTGGCAAAGGTTGAGGGTCTTGTGTTAGGCCAGAAGTTCAAGCCCTGCACCATGCAAACTATGCCAGGTGTTTAAGTGGAGAAGGGTAGAGGAGAAGGCCTATTATCCCGAGTTTCAAAGGCTGTGATTGGTCCTAACAGTTAGCCAGACGGATTTTCTGTCAAAAAAAAAAAAGAAGAGGAAACCTCGCTACACAACTTCCACAGAGGTTATATTTATGTTTCTCTTATAGAACTATTTTGGAGCCTTCTTATAAATCCGTATTCCCATGTGAGATGAGTTAAATATATTCTTCGTTTGACAGCAATTAATTCTCTTTTTCTTTTTTTTCTCGAATAGATTAAGGAAATATATGAATACCAACATACTAGTACAGATGAACATACATATGCAAATATCAAAAAACACCACATCACATTATGAAAAGAATAAACATGGAAAATTGCGAAAGGGAACAGAAAAAGCCACAGTTGTAAAATTCACCGAAAAAAACAAAAGCAATTTAGGGTGGAAAATGTCAAATACCTGGCATGGGTGTATGAAGAGAATGAAATGTCAGAAAACAAGCATCCAGAGCTTTTAAAGTAGGTCCCGTAGGTATCCGGTAAATTGGATACCTGCAAAACAGACATCAGCACATTAAAATTCAGGGGAAAAACAAGTATACATCCTGGTATGAAATGGGCAAGAAAAGCAAAAATACCAGGCTACAGAAATCCAACTGTAACGAAGGAGATCACAACTTCTCATTGTTTTTAATTCGGGGAAACGTTGAGCAAGAGCAGATATCTACAGAACACGAAACATAATGAGAATATGAGATAAAACAAAAAGACAAGAAGAGTAACTTATCCATTACTCCCTATCAATGAAATAAACAAAAGATGACTATACTTTGAGGGAGAATGGAGGAAAAGACCAACAATCTTACTTATCAAACAAAAAAAAGACCAACCTTGTCTGCCAAAGGTTCACGACCATAAGGCTGATCGTGTGCAAAATACTCAAACAGCAAGGCACCTTGAGAAGACCCAGATTCACCCTCATCGCTTGAAAATCCTTCTTGGAAGGTAGCATTACTTTCTCTTAATGATAATCCATCGATACTAAGAGAGCTTTCACTTGCTTGGCTATGATACATCCGTTGCTCCCTTGAATAATTCAAGCAACGTCTCTCGTGTTCAGAGTCACTACTTCCATCACTACTAGAATCCCGAAAATAGTCACTATCACTCTCCTCACCTGGTCGCCTACTATGCAAGAGAAAATGTCAATTCAATATCATATGTTTCTTAAAACTTCTCAATCAAAATCTAAACATCATCAATTCAAGGTTTCAGAGCCTTTCAGAAAACAGTAGGTGAGTAGTAGTATAGGACAATCTTTGAGACAGAATCATGTGCATTTACAACATAAACACACGCATGAAACATGAGATCTAGCTATATGCCACATCACCATCCATATACTAGCTAAAGAAGTGCATTGAGATCAACAATATCAAGAGAGCGCAGGATGATATAAACGATACATCAGAAAGAAAGATGGATGTAGAAGAGAGGATGGAAAATAGCAATTCCATAGCATTTGACCAAATATTCTGCTACTATTTTTGAAAGCAGAAAAGGCACATCGAGAATAGGGAAAGGCAGACTCAAGAAAAGGGAGAGGGAGAGCAAAGCAAAGTGCAAATGAGAAGCCTGGTTCAGTGCTTACCATTAAAAATAGATGGAAAGAATATATAGCATGTTTTTTGATTGGTAAAACAAAATAGCATTTATCATTCTTAGGGGTAGTTTGGTACAAGGGATAATAATCCCTGGACAAAATGCATAATGATTTTATCTTGCGTTTGGTTAGGGCCTTAGGGGTATTAATTTAGTCCCGGGATTATTTATCCCACCATGTATACTACAATGATGGGGTTATCCATATATATATGGTGGAATAACTTATCCCATGGGATACCCCAATCATGGAATAACTTTGTTTGTCCCATCCTACATACCAAACAACCCCTTCGTACTCGGTTTTTTGGGTCTTCCTGGTAAGATGGAAGTGTTAAGCTCACTAGAGGACCAAGTCGAACAACAAGTATAAGCTAACATCAAGATAATCAGAATAGCATGCAACTCAATCATTATAAATAATATGTATGTACATATTTTTATAATCCTATATATATTGAATGTATGTACAAAAAATGGATATTTTAAAAAATGTAGCACTAGAGGACAGAGGTCAGCTAACGGGGAAGAGGCGACAGAAAAGCAGAACATTTACTCCCTAAATAAGGAAATTAGTTGAACTTTACTAATATGTTTGAGAGCTCATCAAAGAAGATCCTCAAAACAGTTAACAACCTCAAGTTTTGATTCATGTATTTTAATGGCTAGTACCGGCATGTCAAGCCTGGTTTACCTATAAAAAGATCTATACCATGCATTCAGTTCAAGGAAGGACCAAAACTATTGTTCTCTACCAAACCCAAAATGCACAGCACAGCTAATGAAAACGACTTCTTTACCTCATATTATGGAACCCCAAAACATCATTAATGTAAGCACTAAATTTTCTTAAAACATAGATGATTCTGCTAAACATAAGAGCACGAACAAAATTTGTAATTTATCAGAACAAACTAAATAAAGAAAACAAAAAGTTGACTGGAGTCACACTCGTAAAGTCAAGTCATACAAGGAGCAAATGGTGTTTCAAAACTCATAACACTGGGTAATTAATTTAGATAACGTAGTGTAGCAAATTGCACTAGTATCATGTAACAGAGGAAGACTGTAAAAAATTGAATTCACTAAAGACAATGGAGGCAACTGTGTTTATAGAGACGAACTCCAAATTTACTCTAGAACTCTCCACCCTTTCCACTATTACCCTATGAAGAAATCCAAACTACAATCAAATTATCCAACTTGGTGGGCATCATATTCCCAAAGGTAAATTAAAGAACTTATTGACTGACCGAAAATAAAGTGATAAACTATTTATTTATTTAACTTAATGGGAAAAATTATTTCTCTTCATATAGCAAGCATGAGATAGCATTCCCCTGAACAAGAAAAAGAATAACAGCCAGCTTCTGTATCCGCATCAGGCCCACACTTTCAGTTCCATCTATATAAACTATGGTGACAACTGGACGTGTTTTTGGACTCCTCAGATAGTGAGGTGCAATAGGTTTTGCATCCATCCGCAAAGACTAAGTGAGAAAGTACCCATTAGGTTTAAGAGCTGCCCAAGCAAAGGCCATCTATCCGCAAAGACTAAGTGAGAAAGTACCCATTAGGTTTAAGAGCTGCCCAAGCAAAGGCCATCTATCCGCAAAGACTAAGTGAGAAAGTACCCATTAGGTTTAAGAGCTGCCCAAGCAAAGGCCATCTATCCGCAAAGACTAAGTGAGAAAGTACCCATTAGGTTTAAGAGCTGCCCAAGCAAAGGCCATCTATCCGCAAAGACTAAGTGAGAAAGTACCCATTAGGTTTAAGAGCTGCCCAAGCAAAGGCCATCTATCCGCAAAGACTAAGTGAGAAAGTACCCATTAGGTTTAAGAGCTGCCCAAGCAAAGGCTATGAAAGCTCTTACAGAAGCAGCAGCCTACTGGTCGACAAAGAAATGCACAATCATGGTAAGAGGCCATCTAAAAAGACTGAGGTACTTGGTTAAAGAGCCACGCCTCGGAATCAGATACCGATTTGGATTCTTTGCAACCCACACATAAAAGCTCATTCCAGATACAGTAAGTTAATGACATTATAAAAGCGGAATGAAGCAGGTAGACAATTTCTAGCCTCTATCTGTATGTCTTGAGAACTCTTTGATTTCCACTTCTTTATTGAAAAGATGCTGATAGAACTATCAACTATCTTCTCTTATCAATATTATGTAGAATTTTTCCACCAAAAACCTATGTTGCTCGAACTCTCCAAAAATGATGCCCCACCCGAGTTGGATCCTTCAAAAATGCACTACTCTTGAAGGATCCGACACACACACCATCAACATATTTGAAGAGTCCGAGCAACATTGCCAAAAACATTATGCAGTACCGACAAAGAGGAATTGGAAATGCGCACAAAGAAATATCATGCAAAATCTTTCTCCTTGCTGAGTATCTGATAATGTACACCAAGATTATTATACACAATTTTGAATTAATGCCGCAACTATTCTGTATCCGCACTTTATGTCAAAGCAGATGATCATTACTTACAAAACCTAAATATACCCAATAATAATCGTGGAGCTGAAATAAGCATCAAGGAGCATACAGAAAACCATAGATAAAACAAAAACAAGCACCTTCAGTGTGTGGTATTGAGACTATCAATTCAAAGGCCAGAAAAATTGGCTGTGCCATGAGTAACAAAAAACTAATTTTAAACATGGAAAAGGAAAAAAACAAGCAAATATATACCTTGTTTTGACTGAAGCCTTTGAAGAGTCACCGTACAACTGAATACCTGACAAATAGGGTACATAGTACTGAACTGCACTATCACCTTCATCCAAAACCAATGGAACTCCAGCTCCATATGCACTCCATTCTTTAAAAGACTCCCATAAGTCGCCAAGTACATAGTAAGGCAGAAACTCCACATCACACGTCCTCCAATCCCTAATAGTTGTCTGTTACAAACACAACCATTTTTCACTCAAAACTTGTAATATTAACAACAAACAACAGCTAATTTTCTTTAACACTTAAATTTCCAACCACAGCCAATAGACTACAGTAAAATTATCAATCATACCCAGCAAAAGATTAAATTTTTATATCAATAAAACCATTTTCCAATCAAAACATATATAATCTTAACAATGAATGGCAGTTAAACTTTCATTCCAACCAAACTCCAGCAAGCTTTAAACCAATACAACCATTTTCAATCAAAACCTATAATCTTTACAACAAACAACAACAACAATAGACCAAGTGTAATCCAACAAGTGCGGGCCAGGGATGGGTAGAGTGTTCCCAGACCTTACATCTACCTCGTAGAGCTAGAGTGGTGATTTCCGATAGACCCTCAGCCTAAATAAAGCATGACAGACAGTTTGAAAAAGGAGATATAGATATGACAGCAATAACAACAACGAAACAATACGAAATAAAAGTATTGTACTTTTTGTACTAATCCAATCAATAGAACTCTTGAATAACTCATCACTAATACAAGCTCAAGTATTTTCAATCAAAACCCATAAAAAGAGTTTAAAAATCTAATTAAACAGCTAAATAACACAAAGCCATAATTTTTTAAAACCTTAGATAGATATTGAGCAGGAACTGAAGGAGTAACAGATTTCAAAAACCGCTGTAGATTACAAAGCGGCAAAACTTCCGATGTCGGCACGGCAGCAGCGACCGGTAACTCCTTCGTCGATTCATCGACGGCAGCCACCTTCATTTTCGTCTTCGCCGGAAAATTACTAACAGCAACATCACTCTTAGCTCTCCGTAAATTATCCTCACCATTAAAACTCCGATTAACATTCCGACGAGCCTTCGCAGCACTATAAAACCGATCTTCACCGTTAAAACTCCGATTAAACTGTAATCCACTACCCATCATCTCTTTATATGAAAAACCCCAAATATCTCTATCTATATCCAAAAAAAAATCCTTTTTTTCCTATATATATATCGATAAATTGCAATTTATATATCGATTATCTCAGAAATTCTTCAAGAAAACGAAAAGGGGTTGATTAGGCTAATTGATTCTCGTAGAAATGAATCAAACGAGGAAAAATTAGCCACAACAAAAAAATTAATTATTTTTTTGGTAAAAATTCGATGAATTGAGAATTTATATAAACCCTAGCAAATATTGACTCAGATCAAAATATTACTAACAAATATATTAATCAAAGAGCATGTGGATTTGTATAAAAAGAGAATTTTTTTTTGGATTCAAATAGAAAAATTGCAGTTGAAAATGGAGGAGAGAGAGAGAAAAGCAGAGTGACAGAATAAAATTGTATGGGCAACGGAAAGTGGGAAGAAGAAAACAATGTTATTTGAAAAAAAAATAGTTTCATCTTTTCATTTTGTTAAAATCTTGTTGGGAGCGCTATCTTCGAATGGGCCCCATAAATTGCAATGCGTGATATAGATATAATCGGAGCATCAATGCAGGCTTCGAACATGGGTAAGAAATCAAAAAAAATAATTATTTTGTTGTTCTATTTTTTTTATTCGGTGTTTGTTATGTATATTTTTTTCATTGAATGTTTTAACATATGTGTTATGATTCGTATAAATTTGAATTTACGTTAAAATGTTATATATGTAATGAGGATAAAATTATTTTTGTATTGTGGAGCGTATAGGTTTGAATTCACGTTAAAAAGTTATATATTGAGGACTAATTGTGTTTTTATTATCTTATAAGATTATATGTACTTGTGGATAGTATGAATTTGAATTCATGTTAAAAAGTTAAGTATAGTCAAGATAAAATGCTCTCTAACAAAAATGAATGTTATGTAGTTAGGATTCGAACTCAAATTTTACTTTAACTACAATAGTACTTGTTGATACTTTTTATTTATTTTGTTTATTATTTGTTTCATATATTACATATAGCATAAATTTGAATTCACGTCAAAAGTTTCTCTTATTCCGTATGCGATATTTATATTATAGATTGTATCAATTTGAATTCACGTTAACATTCCTTTCTAACAAAAAGGAATGTTACTTATTTAAAATTTGAACTCGAAATTTGACTTAACCACCATACTTGTTGATATTTTTTATTTTGTTTGTTTGTTATTTTTACAGTTTATTTGAAGTAAAGCTATGATTTGAAAAGAAAATGAACTTATTAAATTGTGGTCCATATAATATTTCCTCTTTGAAAATAAAGTCTCATTATATGTTTGGAGATTGGAATATACTTGTGATGGAGAGATATTCTAATATGTTCATCTCATTAAAGTTTAATTATTTATCATAAATATTTTAATAAATCATAGTAGTAATTAGAATAAAATTTCTCCATCATTATGAACTATAATAATATCAGTCTTATTTTTCTTGCATCTATTTTCTTGTAAGAATTGATATATAGTTTAATATAAAGACTAATGTTTTAAAACTATTTCTTCACTCTCATTTTCATTTATTAGTTTTTGGTAAATTCTTAAAATTGTGTTAATAATTTTCCAAATACTTACCAACAAAATCATGGACCAAATTGGAAATAATAGAAGTCTACCAAATCTAGTGAAAAGATTATGGAAAGTGAGTTAATAATTCAATAAACTTTTAAAGCCATTGTGCACTTTATAATAATTAATTATTATTATTATAATTGCATTGAGTGTTCAGATCATATCAAATCATAACATTATATGGAAATTATTATCGTGACTCATAACAGAATGAATGAAATTTCTTCATCCTTATTTAAAAAGTCTCATATTTAAATTCTAAACATAAAAAAGATTACAATACAAAATATTTTATCTTTTTAATAAATCTTATGCGATATAAATTTAAATTAATTAAATCTCTATATGAATATTGAATATGAAATTAAAAATCAAAATGACCAACATAGGAATTATGTGAAAAATGAAGAGCTTTTATAGGAATATAATTTGGACAAGTGGAATATGAAACATTATCTATTGGGGTTAGGCCAGAACAGCAAAAATGGCTAAACCATAAAGTGATTGGCTAAAAGGGAAAACAATTGGATTTGTGATTGAAAAATAAAGAGACACGTGGCAATGAGATATCAAACGTTGTCGTTTGTTACCTAAGCTATCATCCCATCTCCCAAGACTAGTAGTATGAGGTGGCGATAACGATGTTTGTTTGAACATGTTTTGACTCTTATCGTGAATAATATAATATGAGAAATCGGAAAAATGATCATTGTAACGCAGAGGCGTATCCAACGGGGGGTCACTGGGTTCACGTGAATCCATGCTTCCCTCCCGAGATCATATATCGTAGTGTTATATTTTTAAAAAATTATTGAAATATAAATGTGTGAACCCATACTTGGAGTATCATATAATGCGATGATGACTGGGTGCACCTCTCGACGTGAGGTTAGAAATTTGAATTTTATTTTTCTTTCTAAAATTAGATAACACCTCTCAAGTGGTTATTGATAGCACTTTTGACATTTTAATTGTGTGTATATATATATAAGAATTAATTTTGACCTATAATATTAAAATTTTAACGATTTTAGTAATAAGAACCTATATGTCAAACCGATCAAATTTATATCTTAAATCAACATTTTTGTAATAGTGCACCCATCATCTCGAAATCCTGAATACGCCTCTGTTAAATGTAACGAATGTCATTATAAAGATCAATACAAATTTCAAGTACTTGATCGTAAAGTAAGTATTACTATTGAAGTTTAATTTTTGAATCTCCATGAATTATGGTGGAACGAATAGAATTTTTAATTCTTAGACAGAGTTTCAAGTTTATGCTTTGGTAGAAAGTTTGCCCCTTCGGTTGTCCTTTAGTTTGTCTCACGAAATATGAATTTGAATTAGTCAGAACTTTGATATGAATATCACTCGGGATAATAAATAAAAATAGAATTTTATTATGGAGTATGTACATTTATTTTTTCAGTACGCGCAAAGGGCTTATTATTTGAAAATTATTTTATTGCTACTAATATATGAAAATTTATTCAAGAATGAAAAGTGTATCTAATATATTTTATACTATCATATAAAACTTGTGATGTTATTTTCATAATTGTACCTTTAAAAAGTGAGATATTTTATCAACCTTCAAAAAGATAAAATATTTTAGATCACATATATATGTCACATACAATTATTTGCCTTTCTAACATTAAGGCAAAAGTTTCATGGAAACATTGGAATATCTTTTATCATGATAATTCGTACTTTTTTATTTAAAATGAAATTCAATAAATTTGAGTCTCCTAAAATTTACTAAAAGTTGAAAGATATTCCACTAAAATTTCTTTTTATTTAAAAGGTTCAAATTAATTAAAGGATGAGTGATCATATTCATCCATTACAAAGTAATCCTTACTAATGGATAGCATGTACTCGTTTTCAACATGACTTCTGATGACGATCGTACAAAAAGTTTAATTAATTTGTGTATACGTTTCAAAAAAAGTATTATAGTTTGAATCTTAAATTTATGTTACATTTATTCTACCACCATAATGATAGGTAATTTGTACTCATTTAAAGTGTTTCCTACAAGTTGTTATTATAAAAATATTACTATAATTTTCAGCTTATTGGATCTTCCAAAATATGCTTGGACAACTGATTAATTATAACAAAAAAGTTTAGTACTTTATTAGCTTATTTAATCATTAAAAGATAGTGCTGATTCTGCATGTGCATCATATTGGAACCCCACTTTGATATAAAAATGAAATAAAACATTTTTAGGGATTCTATTCACATTTAATCAAAGGATTTATTAGTTACTTGTTTTTTTTTTAATAAAAAGAGTTATATGTAGTTTCTTTTTAGTCAAACACAAGATTTTTATATGTGAAAAATATTGTTAGATTCACTTTTTTGCTTTGATTATAATTTTTTTAAATCGAGGATCTATTAAAAATAAAATCTAATTTTAAAAGATACGAAGGATATAGCGTATTTCGTTTGCACACAAATACAATACTATTATTACATGTCATAAATATACAAATCATTGTTATACGTCGTAATTAAAGGTGAAACTATGGATATAAACACAATTTTATCCTCCAAACAAGCTAAGGGACAAGATTAATTAAAAAATTAAAGATAAGATTTGACACTAATTAAAATGTCACTATAATTAGATAACACTCTTATTTTAAACTTTTTCATATAATACATGAAAAGGAAATATGTCTTTATTAATGAAAACGTCCAACTTACCCACAAAATATTTGGTATCCACAATTCTCACCTAATTGTTAGGATTTGTAGGTCCCTATGGTCCATTAGATTTATAATTCCTTATTTAATTTGCAAATTGGACGGTTAACTAATAATTAATTCATTTTATGGAGTAGATGGACAATCAATGGCTATTTAGCAACTTTTTTTAATCGTAGAAAGTTGCAGTGTGATAGATAAATACAACATTTGTATTCCTAATTAGAAATTTTAAATTCTAACTCGAAAAATAAAAATAAAAGTTATACAAGCAACACTTTAAATTTCATCTCTAAATGAACCTTGTGCTACAGAAATTTGAGTTATTCGGGATCAAAATGGTTTACAGGATGGCACATGGGATTTTTAAATAAAAAAATCGGTTTTCTATGTTATCTTTTTCTGAAAAAAGTCTTAAAATTTGTTTTAGGTGATAATAATATCATAGGATCCCTTCACCCTTAGCTAGAGGTTCCGAGGTAGAGTCTTGATAATAAAATTTTTTTTTAATAAAAAAGTATTTTTTTACATGCTAGAAATCATTGTGTATAAACTTTGAATATAGACGACAAAACTAGAGGGAGAAACGGGTTCATTTGAACTTTCTTCATCCAAAAAATTAAACTATATATACTTGAATAAATTTTCTTGTTAATATTATGTACCTAAAGCTCTGTCGTAATAAAATTACATTGTTTATACGATGTCTTTCTTTTTATATATATAAAAAGTAGGTATCATAAATGTAGAGCAACGGTAAAAAAAAATTCAATATTTGCCACTTACTTTGACTACGAGATAATTAAATAAATAAAAACTTAGAAAATATTCAATTCAATATTCTTTTCTAAGTTAAAATTGGAGTACCTTTCAAAACTTTGAAACAAATAATGATATTAAAATGAAGCAATATTCATGACCAAACATTTAGAGGAAAAAAAACAAGAATTATAATCACCAACAAAAAAGACAAAAAAATTTACTTTTAATACCTCTTGTTGTGACATGTTGACACTACTTGTATTTTTCTAAAGTTGAGGTCCAAGCCTTTCTTCTGCCACATGTTTATGTTTGACCAAATAATAAAATAATCAA